GATATCCCCATGCTGGAGCCGGGAGCTGTGCTCGAAGAGGTCTTTGACTCCATGGGAAGCTCGCGATGGAACATCTTGTTCCTGGACTTCCATGCCAGGAAGAGCAGCAATGGTGAACTGACTGCAACCCCCATTCCCTGCTCCCTGTGCCACTGGGGGAGAGAACGTAGAGAAATTCGGAGCAAAGTGATTTAAGTCCAGGAAGATGGGAGGGGTGGAGGAAAGTGTCTTAAGATGTGGTTGTTCTGTCTCACTGTGCTACTTGGATGAATGGCAACAAATTAAATTGATTTTTCTCTTCCAAGTTGAGTCTTTTTAAGCCCGTGACCATAACTGGTGAGGGAGCCGTCCTTGTCCTTCATGCTAATCCCGTGCCCCCTTTGTTGTGATTCCCTTCCCATCTCACTGGGTGGGGGGAGCGAGTGCAGGACCGCATGGTCCTACTGTGGTTAAACCACCACATAGGTTAATGATTGGACTTGATAATTTTAAAATCTTTTCCAATCTAGGTAATCCTATGATTCTGTGATTTATTACCAACAGCATCATACATGAATTATACACATGATTTGCTGATGTGTATGGAGTAAATAGAGGAAGTCATCATTAGTCTGCTATCTTATTTTTCTCCTCCATACATCACTGAAGAGCTTCATGTCCTCCTCATAAGGTTTTTATGTCTGTGTATATACATAAATGGACACACCTTTCTGTATAATCAGAATACTAATTATATTCATTTTGTTGAGCTAGTCCAACTAGACCTGATTACATTAGCTATCCTTGACTATAAGTTACAGAAAGGCATCCAAGCACCTAGTACATAGAACTGTAAAAAGGAACATATTGTCTCTATTTGGCATAACATTAGCATCACAGCTGTGACCTCTTCCTATTAATTATACAACATGGCTCTGTCACAGGCTTCCACATCACGACAATGGAATTTGGTCTAACTTACAACCAAACTATGGAGTTTCTTGACAAACACATTACTCTGCATTTCTTTGTAAGACGGAGAAAGCTCAGGAGAGTTCACATCGTAACTCATACCTTAAATTTTCCATCTGATGAGAATATGCTAACCCATTTGTTATCATAATCTGCAATAATGATGTCACCACTGGGATGCACAGCCACTCCTGTCGGCCGCTGCAACTGGCCGGGAGACCTTCCTCGTATGCCAAAACGGCTTTTGAACTGACCATCATTGGAAAATATCTGTAAAAGAAAACATTCATTTTAAAATTAAGTCTGCATAATAACATCATGTACTTCTTGGAGCTTAGATTTTAGCAAGTCAGCAAGAAAGTTAGGAATATGAAGCACTTTTACAGGGCTCATATTTGAAAGTGATATGCCTAATTTAAGAAGCAGCTTCTGCCTAGACCCTAACTTCAAAATAAAGAAGTTTTCTGCACTTACATTGCACTATTCTTCCGTGATCTCAATGTACTTTACAAACATTACTGAATGAAGCTGCACAATGTCCCTCTCATCTGGAAGGAAGTGGTATTATTCCCATATTATAAAAGAGGAAACTGAGGCACTGAGTGATCCAGCCACAGTCAAACACTAAGCGCGTAGAAAATATAGGAATAGAAGCTAAAAGAGAATTTCAAGAGTTGACTTAGGGACAAGTACTAGGCCATTTCCTGAGAGATGCTTTAGCCACAAGAAATTCAGTCCACTGGTTGCGGCCCCAGGCCAGGTAATCAGACACTGAAGTTCCTCTGAAGTGGCTGCAAATTGCAAAGTGTGAGGGTGCTGATGAATATTTGACTCTGTCTCTTTGAAAAGGCCTGGAGAGTTCTTACTGCATGTGGCTTGCTGGTTCTCACATACTGAAGAACAAACCACACACTGCTGCCTTGTTCATTGCTACCACATGGGCAGCCTGAAGAGTGATGACAAATCATTAATGGTAAAAAAGATACATGGCAAACAAAAGAAAAAGTAAAGCTTGATTTGCACACAAGTTACAGAAGCCAAGAAATCATGGGTGTCAGGGGTACTACCACAGAAAAGATTTGATCATGAAATCCAACAGAAAAGGCAATTAAATAGACTAAAAGTCCTTTGAAAATGACATCTACATGTTTATTTTTGTATTTGCTTAAGAAATTATATTTGTGGCACCTTGCCCTAAATTTATATTTGGAAACATAGAGTGATAAATTTACAATGCAAAATGATATTTACAAAAATGCATTTTTCCAGATTATTGCGCCACTTGTTTTCTTCATTCATTGCCAAGCCTCATAAGGAAGGGAAATAAACTCTGATATACATACTAGATATAGTGTAGATCTGAAAACGATAGCTGCAGGTCAAGAAGATGGAATGATAATGGATGATAAACAAGTTGAGCTTCCTCTTTATTTTCTGTATCTGCTTGAATTATACAAAATGTGTCTTTCCTGGACTACAAAGAAAGCAGAGGTGTGGGGGCAGGGAGAAAAAGTAAAATACTGGCGTATCCTCATACCTGCACACACTGGTTGTTACTGTCTGCTATTAATATTTTTCCATTTGTAGACGCAGCTACACCTTGAAGATTTGTAAACTCCCCTTTGTTTCTTCCTTTGGTGCCTAAAATTGAACACAAAGCACATAAGAAATCAGGTTAGACAGGACTAATCAGTTAGGACCTAAATGCCGACACATGCATTTACTACATCCTTGATCTATAGATTTTTATTTTGAAGAGTTCTTGTCACTGCTACAACTGCAAAGAACCAGCTCAGTAACAGATCCACAATTCTAAATACAAGAAGGGATGGTTCTTACTCTTTGGCATGTGTGCCATCTAAGCCCTCATCCATGTGATTACCTCTTTGGCCTTCACAAATCAAAGCACTCACAAGTTGCCTCTTGTGTGGGGGAACCAGTAAAATGTTTTAACATAAGCGATGGACTTTTTAAACTGCAGATTTTCATTCAACTGAGAAGGCAATGAAAGGGGCAGCGCTGTGGGAATATACAGACAGAAGCTAAGATAAGAATCTGGACAGGTGACAAGGCTTTACTACAATTAGCTAAATCTCAGTGAAGTCACAAAGTTGAGATAAATTATATCAGTGATCACTTTGGATGGGACCATTGCAAGACAGGGAAGTTTCCTATTCACTCACACAGAGTTTTCAGTCATAAGCTTTAAAAATCCCCTTCGAAGGGAAACTCAGATGAAGAACTGGTTTTAAATGACTGAGACACGTGGGCCAATGAAGACCAACACCTGGAGACTGAATGCTTCTGCGAAGAACTTAGATTCTTCTAATAAAGCAGTGTACACACACAGAGGTCCCATTTTTACCCAGCACAAATGCAATAGTGACATATATAGAACTGTAAGTCTCTTCCCCAGTGGCTTAAGGGGATAAGGAGCTGTAAAACTTCAAACTTTCCCAAAGGTTCATTAAGTTTAGATTCTTCATTACACAGCAAACTGATGCCTTTAAAAGGTCAGCCCTAAAGTGGCTGGTCCAAATTACACCTGGAGTGCAGGAACAGTATCCAAATTCCTGCTTTGTTTGTAAAGAAGGCTCAGGGGTCTTTAGACAAGACTGCAATTATGATCTTGGACCCCTAGGTTATTCATAATGAATTAATGAATTTTGAAACAAAAAGACTCTATAAGCTGTTCTTTCCAAGACTTGGATGCAGCACTATTTTTCCTGGTGAACTATTTTTACAAGCATTCACTGGCTGTGTATCAAGCATTAATTGGTTTCAATATATACTTTTAACTGAAAAATGTGTATTTTATTTTAGTTGGTCCCAAATATCCTGGAGCTCAGTGATTAAAACTGTTCTGATTGTGATGCCCAACATAAGACACACATATTAGCTCTAATTTGAATTTAGCTTTCATTAGGGATGTGTATGCTCTTAACAACCCTTCTTTCTGCTGTTATGATGGTTGTGGGATGCGTATTTCCTGTCACTGGCTGACAAGTAACATTTAATTCCTCTGCACTTGGCGCTATGAGCTTGTCCCTTTGTTTCAAGGCTTGTTTTCTTGAACTCTATATGCTCCATCCTGTAAACAAGGCAAATATTTCCAAACTTTTGTACTGCAAGGGGAAAGTACATATTCAGGGAATAGTGAGCTACACACCAGTTACCCACACTTGAGCTATTTCTGTGCATTCTTTTAATGAGCAGTGCCTGAGGGATGCATGCAGTATTTTTTTTTCTACCATATGCTAATGATAAGTTTCCTTTTTGCCTTTTAGCCAAAGAGAATGGACGAAAAGGGAGAAACATTCCTTTTACTACTGAGAATAAAGGGAAAACATTTGTTAGAAAAGAGTAGGCATAAGCTAGAGCATCTGGAACCAACTAGCACAAACTTTATGGAATGTATGCTCTTTACTCTTAGAAAAATGTTCTTGATAGTCAAGGAATATAATTTTTAGAGATCAGAGAGACCTATGTAAAGAGTTACTCACTGTTCTTCGGTGATACCTCGTAATTATAGACCAAAGGAAAAATAGAAGAAACTACCCAGGAATGTCATAGTCACATTTCACTATGTGAAATTAAGAAATAGTAATTTATTAGCACAGCATGCAGATGAAATTCAGCTCCATGCAATGTCCTTGTACATAGCACTTTGCAGCTATTAAACCCATCACATAGGTCCTAGTTTGCACACAGGCCATTATACAGCCCCCTCTGCAGTGGCACAAATTTCTCTGAAAAAGAAAGCTGGGGTTTGTGAAACACAGCTTATTTCCTAATCTATGTTCAAAAGGAAAACAGGTAATTTTGAACTTTCTGATTTGAAGAATTCACTATGCCAACAAAGATCTAAATCCAAGCACAGGCAGTGGCAGCAATTCAGATGATGAGAGGAAAGCTTGTAATAAAGTATGTCAGCCTCTGGAAAAGCAGGATCCTGCAACTTACTCTGTAATACCAAAAGACTGATAGCTCCTTCCTGTAAGTAGAGATTCCTGCCTTATAAACACACCTGCCTGAGAGAGAGTCTTCAGCAAATCTTTCACTGCAAGGTACCACCCCTCTATGTCAAGGCACCTCTTGCTTTTTCTTCTCTTCTCTCAGTCACGGACAGTCACGCATCACTCCTTAGCCTAGGGAGGCACCAACATTTCAAATGCTGGGGCTAGGGAACAGTTGTGGGATCCTTGTTCCAGTGTTTCCCAAGCAGCCTGTTTGGGAGATGAAAGCTGCATCTTTTGTGCCTGTCTTTGCCCAGCCTTACCCCCCTCCTGTTCTGCAGGGCACAAAGGAGGAAAAGACAGAAGTTTTACTGCAATTTCTGCAGCAAGTTGTTTGGGATTGGGACAGGACAGCAGAGTTCTCAAAAAAGCAGGATAAAGAGAGTTATTAGGAAGCAAATTTGTGGTCTGTGGAATAGCTCCTTTTATACCATCTTTGTCTACAGGTTTCTAAACAACCAACCAGATTTGCCTTAGCCCTATCTAATTCCTTCTGGTATTACTGAGCTTAGCCTGCACAAACCAATTAATTTAGCTTTGAAGATATGCTTTCAAAAAAAGAGTGTCAATTTTCAGCTCAAGACAATCTAGCGCACTTAAAATGCTTCATAATTTCAATCTTTTGTTTTTGCACAAAACAGGCCAGATTGAATCTCACAAAAAAGAAGTTAAAAAAATCTAAAAGCCCATTAACATCATGGCAGATGTTAAAAATTGCATCACGTAACTGCAATAAGAATCTGCTTTGCAAGTGTGGGGCATCTAGACAAACCTGTTGTACAATGTACAAATTTGAGCCTCATAGTAAGAAAAGGAATGTTTTTTGCTTCCTAAGTTTTACTAATATGAATAATAATCTCCATGCTTGCTAACCTAGATTTACCAGCTTCCTAACACACAAAGAAAAACCATGTCACTACTCCCAGCAGGAAGGGAATGGATTCAGAGAGACAAAAGCCCTGCAGAAAGATTGCAGATTAATGGGGACAATTTAGAGGTTGCAAGTAGTCATAACATGTTTTGTAAGTATCATTTATTTCTTTCCTACAACACTTCAAATGCTTCTTCTTGGACTTTTCTCTGCATGGTACTGAAAAAAAGGATAAAAGATTATCAGAAGGTCTACATACATACTACATAGAGAGGTATCAAAGAGTTGTTTTCTTGTTCCCTAGCCTTGCTTCTTTTTTCCTCAGAGTGCCAAAAGATACTTAGTCAAACCTTACACATTTTAAGAATGTGCTCCCCTAATAGATACAGCTGAAACACAAAAGGCTCTGTACTAAAACTGCACTGAATCAGATTGTTAACAACCTATGTGCTTATTGTAAAATAAACGTCAGTGATTCTAATCCAAGTTCCCATGCAAATCTAAGTTTTAACACCAGTCAGTCTGTTGTATGAAGGCAC